AAATCTCTCATGCCACTTAGTGGCATAGCGAATGAAAAAATTTTCCGGCGCCCTCGAAAGCCCCACTGTCCAATGTTTCCCTGGTTTCCAGCGATTGCCGTAGTTACCGACAAGGCATCGCTTGAGATCAAGGTTCGGGTCTTGACCGCGAATTAGGAGCGCGTCAAATCGCCTGTCGAGAAAAATTTCCCTCCATCCGGGCCTTAACTTTGAAAGTTAGTGTTCAAACTAAACTCTAATTCTTTTCATATCTCTTATTTTTTGATACAATTCATAATTTCATATTCTTTTAATCATTTTATCGACTTTCGGAATTTAGATATATACTATTGAAAACAAGAATAATAACACTTGAAACTATTGTTTTTTAACAGACATAGATACATCTAACGCATACACATAACGCTGATAAGCATACGGATAATCTTCAGCAGCCAACACGGGATGGTTGCTTATAATTATCTGAATTGCGATAGCTTGATGACGATGCGCAAAGGAACAATTACTAAGGTGCAGAACTATTATAGTAAAAATGTTGTGGACATGATAAGTCTCTAAAAAATGAAAAGAGGAAGCTGAAATTTGATATGATTGCAGGTTGTATGATGCTACAGAGGTGTATTGTTCACGAGTTGCAAAATTTTTTTTTGGTATAAAAATATGCTCAATATTTCCTGAACAACTGGACCTGTTTACTTCTTTTTCAAAAAATTTCTCATAACTTCTATGAAGATCAATCAAAATATGCATACCTTTCCGTGTATAGTTTTCCAGATGTCTGCATTTTTCACATTTTTTCATTCCATAATTAATGTTATGTCTATAATACGCGTAATACTCGGACTAGACATTACAGATTTCGGATACTAATTTGTATTCTAAATCCACAGTCATGAATAAAATTTGTGTCGATCAATCTAGTTTATATTATAAAATTCTATATTTATAAAAAAAAATTTCAACAAAATTACAAAGTGGTACTTTGGCTACGTCAATGATTTTTATTGCTATACGACTTAAAACATCATACTTGATGAAATGTCATAGCTATGACGGAGACAGAGCTCAACATATTCTATTTTTTTAATTACGACACCGAACACGTGGTTTAGCGCACGAAAAGTGGATGATGATTGTTGTTATCACTTCGCGAATCGTAAGGATTTTTTTTGTTTATAATTAAAACAATTGATTAATTTACACTTTTGGAAATACGATATTTGTACTTATCAAAAAAACTGAGTAAATTTGCATGAGGATAGCGTATCTATATGTAGATTTTCGAAATTATCAATCAGCCATAACACTGCTACAGGTCTTGGGAGACAAGTTTAGAATTTTTTGATATCAATAAGCTGCGTATTTACGCTGAACACTAATATTGCCCCGAGCTAGGTTAAAGCGCTAGAGTTTGAGCTTAGACCACAATTGGTAGAACTTTGCCAGCTAAACTTGAATGTTTATAGAATCTGTAAACTTTGATTTACCTTGCCATGACCATTGGTTCAAGTTTGGCTAAAACCCCTGGCCTACAGTTTAAGCGTAACAGTGTAATAAACAAATTTTTATTAATAAACAAATCGCCAACATTTCGCAGAAATGATTAAGAAATTCGTTTTCGGTGACCATGTATTAACTATTACGTAATGAGTAAGACGTTTAGATAGAGTAGTGGAAGTTGCTAGCTATATCATGTAGAAGTGGAAATGAGGAATAGAGGGTCACCATTGGATCGAGCAATCTTGTGGAGAGTATGACGGGGAGCCACTCCCATCGGAACAGGGCGGTCTTGAGCACATTTAAAGGTTGACAGCACGCTTGTAAAATGTCATGGCGCTTGTCAGAAAGTAAAAACAGATAACATCTGAATGAAAAAGTTTTCGAAATTTAAGCAAATTTTTATAAATATAGCATTTTTTCGCTAACCCCTGACTTCATCCCAAAATCTTTGATTGAATTGGATTGATTTTTCCGATGAATATTATACGTTGGGGTAAAGCTGCATCACGAAACTATCACGATTTGTCACATGCGTATAAATCATCTCAATTATTGCGTAAATTTGTGTCCAACCCTAATCTAAATCATTTCCTACATGGTGGGTAATCACATCTTTGGGTCCTGTAACTTTTATATTTTTAGTCCTGTAATTTCTACGTTCGATGCCGGAGTACATTAGATACACTATTTTATACTATGTTTTTTATGTTAATCGACGAGCTCTTATTTTGCTACTTATTTTTGAGTGATGATGGCCTGTGCAATATAAAAACATAATGTTATAATTTCTATAATGCATTGTTTTTTCGGGATTTTCGGGGCCACATAGTTACCAAGGCAATATAAGATGTCAGAGCAAAATTATACCCTTCTTTTCTTCCATTTCGAATGAGGCAAATCAATTCAAAAGATTTGCTCAACATAAAGTCGTCTAATAGCTCATGATGAACGAATTTTTTGAAGGTGGAGACTCACGTAAAACCAGGAATTTTACAAAAAAAATGTTTTTTGTTATTCTCTCATCAATGAATTACACAATTTTGACAAAATTTAATGCATCAGAAAAAAAAATGTGCACCTGTACACTCTAGGCCAGCATTACCGTGACAATTGTTGGAAATTATTTTTAACATAAACACGAACAAACGACCCGTTGTGGCAGGTCGCAGGGAATAATAAAACACCAGGGTTGTTTACGACATCAGCAACCCAACACGTGGACCAACCCAATAAACGATGGGCCTTGTCTTTGGGGCAGACCTCACACCCTGGACAAAATGGTGGCACTTCGGATCGGGACCTCGAGCAAGCAACATTAAAACATTAACAACCTAGCTTGAATTATATCGCATCTCAAAACCAAAGTTAGAATTGTTAAAAATAAATCGAAGCTCAAGTTATTGAAATAAAATAGTTCTATCATTATATTCTTTCTACACAATTTTCTTCTAAACGATGTTTCACGTTATAATTATGTATTAAATTTCCTTAAAACTGTGTATTTCATTCATGACAAAATAAAAAAAAATACTCATTTCTGTAAAATAGCTGATTCTTTGAGCCTCTACCTTTAAAAAATTCGCTCATATTCGTAGATGAGCTATTAAAAGACATTACGTTGAGACACGCCCTGGAATTAAAGGGCCCTACTCAGAATGAACGAAAAAAGGGGGGTCTCAGTTTGCCTTGCTCACCATCTTTCCTACTTCCTCCCATTATTTTACTTCGTTCTGGAAGAGCTATACGGCTTATTTTACCGCGAATCTGACCAGTCACTGAACCGTTAAATCTCATTATTCTGCTCCCCCGGGTTTATGAGTCTTGAATTCGAAAATTCACTTACTGCACCAATCTAATGGGAGCAATGTATGATTGGTTTAAAACCACCAATCACAACCTGTGCATCCCCCCCCCCCCCTCCCTAGTCAATCTTTTACGAAGTATCTCGCCAGAGCAGCGGTAGCGGCCCTGGGCGGCACCTAAAAAATCAGTCTTTTCGGAGCGCGTATATTGACAGGATCTGTTCTATTCATCGTATATACATTCAACCTGGTGCTATGGCTGAAGTGGCTCCTCGTCCCCCAGCCATCCCTCCGCAGGACATTGTTCGGGTGGGACGGACAATAATAATCGAAAATCAAGTGTGGCACACCATTAGAACTCGACAGCATCCAATGTTGTAAGTAATAGCTATTTCATATTGTGAACATGGAAATTAATTCATTCTTGGACTGGTGTCAATTTTCGCGTCACGGGCCTTATGAATCGAGTCTACCCAGTAAAAAATTCGTAGGCAGCTGAGTAGTAATTTTCATGACAGGTAGCTTCGAACGCTATTCAAGGGGTTAAAAATCACGAAATTTCAAGTTTCACTGAAAATTTCATCCAGGATTTTACAATTTTCTATTCATCTTCACGGAAGAATGGAACAAAAGTTTACTGTTCTATTTGATTATTTCACGAAATCCTGAATGTTCGATGCCACGACGTTCTGAAATTTCAGTAGAACTGTGACACGAATAAGAAATGCTTGAATTTATCATGCGAAATTCGGAGAAAAATTCTTTGCTGTATAGGCAGGAGCCCCACCGTTACCACGAAAATAAGATCGGGATGAGGGGGTCTGAAGGTCGAAACGTCCGCGCGGATAGTAGAAGTTGCAAACACCGGCGAAATCCTCAATACATATGAATGATACCAACCGAGGTCCTGTGTTAATTTAACAAAAGACGGGGTGGAAGCTCTTTGTTTTGTTTTAGTCCACGTTGTTTTGGTGTCTATCTGCAGGCATTTGACGGTTTGCGATTGTGCTGTTGCGCCGGGAACATAATTAAAAACTACCATGTGCAGGTTATCGCGCAAAATATGTGAATAATTATTAAACTCTGATTTTAATGGATAATTCATATATATGTATCTCGTATGAGTAATATATATCGGATATTTGTTCTTGGTAGGGGAGAGATTATTTACGTGAAATGCGGAGAGAGAAGAAGGGGTTGTCAAACAACTGGAAAAATTGTTAATGGTGTTTTGTCCCTATCTCGACTGCACCCAAGACACAGCCACAGTATCCAAGTCGTGGACGTTAATGGCGTACGCACCTTCAGAGCAGCCCTCTTCCAAGCTGCTGGACGGCAACTGGGAAAAAGTTTAAATAAGATCTACCTCGACATTGCACAAAAGTAAGTAAACGAATAAATGTGAAACCATTACGCTTATGATTTTGTGAATACGAAAAGAAGTAGACTATACCAATATAGATTATTTGTTTGAAATTCTGAATGAATCAACAAATTTCTCACTAATGTTACAGTTATGCACCAGAGATTGTCCACGCTGTTCCCTACGCGGATATCAGCGCACGTATATATCAAATATACAGAAATGCCAGACCACCAGTTCCAGAAACTTTTTTGGAACTACAGAGGATGGTACAAGATGGTGGATGGATAGATGTATTATTACACGACCATGGCCATGTTCAAATGACATCGTTGACAGCTGCGGATGGTCACAGTGCTGTAATATGGGGTGATGCCACATTTGCTCCAACAATCCCAAATCTTCACACTTTGAGCATCCAGTTAAATGCTGCGGTCAATCCGGCGATCAATGGTACTCAGAGTGTTTTATCAGTGACTGCTGTCTACCAGAAACGCGTAAGGAATCAACTTATATTTTTATTTTTACAATAAAGTAGAATCAAATTGAATTGATCCGGTAGTGGTAATATAATCTGACCAACGCTTTCATGCGTTCATGTTTGACATCAGGCACTCACTTTTGGCTGGGCTCTCCTGAATCAAGTGACACAACCCATCATCCATGACATCATTACGTTTGTGCATCGTGAATTTTTCCTCAACGGCAATCCATCGTTGATTCTCACCAACTTGGATTATCGTCTGCTCAATTGCATCCGCGAAAATTGGCCGGAGGCCGAAGTGAAGACCACTTTTCCCGAGGCATGCATGGTGAGTCAGATTTTTTTTTCAAAAGTTCATTTTTATGAAAATTACGCAAATTAGTCCATTGTGTTCCTAGGGAGGAATTTCTCTTTACAGCTCAATTATTCGATTATATTTCAATTATTGTCAATCATTTTCATTCGCATCATTACAAATGTTTATATTATATATTCTTTCTACCACCAAAAAAATCGCAATTTCTCATGGCAATTATAAAATTGGAATTTTGAAAAGTTGTTGAAATATACATTTTTGACTCAAGGCAATACTGAGGTACGCCGAGGATCATCAAGCTATCCTTCCAGGAGACATGAATCATCTGTGTATTCTGAGAAAAATGATGATGATAACTACAATTCCTTCGGATATGAAAAGGCTCATGTTCTGGTCACTGAAGAATGCACTTAACGCTATGAATTATGGACAGGAATTTGAAGAAATGCTGAATTGGTATTACCAAGTTTTTATCAGCCCGGAGAACGAGTCATTCAGTGCATTTTTCGATCGTATTGATTTGTTTCAAGATGTAAGCACTCGCATCTCACAACAAATGTACGATCAAGTTCACCAGCAGCGTGAACCAAACTTTTGGTTTTTTTATCGTGAGTTTTGAGTAATTTTATAAGTTTAAGATTATTTTTATACGTTTATGATATAACTACCTGATGGAAGTTTAAAGATCATTTCGAATACTAAATATTATTTGAAATTACAGGAAAAACGCTAAAAATTCTGACTGGGGCTTATCACGATCTTCATATACTGAGGACTCACGATCAAAATGCCATCCGTAATCTATCGATGACACCCAAAATTCGTCCCTGTCTGCGGAGCAGACTCCTGCGTTATCTTTTCTTGCTCTGTGATCGTAATGCACTACCACTGACCAGAATGGTTTACATCGGCACTAATGGATCCATCCAATTCCCTGCCAATATCCTCTACCAAGAGCACTATAAAAGGGGCCAAGCATTGGAGCAATTGGAACCAGGTGTCGTCATTGAGGCAGCTGAGCTCAATAATCCGTTCCGAGATCCAATTCCAGATTTGGATCTCTTCTTGGAACTCGATGTTGATCAGGATAGACTCCTTCATCGACAGGGTCGACGTGACATTGTAGCTGTGGAAGAGGCAAACCCTGCAAACAATATGGCAGGTAAAAAACTAATCGTATTTTTTTTCTTATCGTTGAATATTGTTTCACGTGCTATTCTGCACCGCCGTTTTCTTTTGCCCCACTATTCCATTTTATCATCCATGGTAATACTGTACTTTCAATTTCTATCTTCTATTGTTTTTCGTGTTTCTAGAACATAGAGCTGTTGGCCCACCAAATCAACAGGATGAAGACAGAGGTGGTAAGTTCTGATACACTATTTTATGAATGATTTATTTACGACTTGTACTCATATACTCATACTTTATACTCATTTATCTTTATTCTTCAGGAGATCAGGGCGTTCAGCAGTACGACGACATATGCATGATATGCCATGAGCAGCCGATTGCTGTCATCACGAGACCCTGTAATTGCATTTGCATCTGCGACAGATGCGAAGAAATTCTGCGTGTTAATGCTAGGCATAACGATGACAGAGCAGAGATATTGCAATGTCCCAACTGCGAGGAAAGAGCATTAACATTTGAACATGTTTTTATTCCTTGCAGTCAAGATGCAGGCCAGCACTTCGACTGGGTTTGCCAAGTCTGTGCTGACAAAACAATTTCATGGATGGGGCAGCTTTGCAGGCATGTTTTCTTCTGTGGAAGATGTGTTCTCCACCTACAAGCACACAGTAATTATCCAGGGGAACTCCTCGAGTGTCCCTACTGCAAGCAAGTAGAGACAATGGTCAAGGTCATCCTTCGAAATCGCCCTGGGTAAATGATTAACGGTTTTTTATGTTTATTTTTAACGTTTCGCGACGAAAAAAGTAAAAGCCAAAATTAATAACAATAAAATATACTGACTAGAATGGGTTTACTGACTGGTATGCAATAAATGACTAGAATCGAACAGTCATTGCCGACATCCCAGCTTTTCATGTTTTGAAAATGTTCACTGATTTTTTTCGATGCATGGACAAAAAGAATGCTTTGTCCTTTTACATGTAGTTAATAAGGTTTGTTGTGTGTGAAAACCCAGAGGTTATATTAAACAGATATTTAATAAGCAAAGAAAAATCTTCAAAATAGGTTGAAGACGCAAGAAGCAATAAAAAAAATACTGACTAGAATAGGTTTACTGACTGGTATAGATAGAGTTAATAACTCCAATGGAATAGTCATTGTCAATATTCCACCTTTTCGTGGATTGAAAATGTATCTTTTTATGATTAGTTAATAAGTTTCGTTGAGTAAGAAAACTCAAGAGTTATGTTAAATAGATGTTGAACAAGCAAAAACAAAGCTAACGATGATAAAACAAAAAAAAAACATAAAAAGCGCAAAAACAGTAACAAAAACATTTTAGCTTAAGGAAATTTTGTTGACGTTTCATAGATATAGGCCATTGTCAAAACGCTGTATGCATTTGACTAAGAACTTTTGTATGATGAAAAAAATTCGACAAATAGTCGCGTAAGATATATTTTCTTGTTTGTAATAATAAAGTTTCCATTTTTTTAAACTAGTCGTTTTCATCCAGTTCCTAAGAAATGCGGCGTTGGAATCACTTCCGAGACAAATTGATGGAAAAGCTGACTGTGAAATAATCATAGTAGAATTTTCTATAAATTTTCTTTGAAATTATTAACGCTTAAAGTCATAATAATAGTCGAAAAAAATATCCTCAGGTAGGGGGTAAAAGGGGTCGTATTTCTGAAAACCACCACGTCGTCGTCAGAAGATTTTAACCATGTCGAACCAATTTTGGGTATTTAGGGGAAACGTCAGGGATTTCGGGTAATTCAATAAGACAAAATCTGTCATTTGATTGAAGCTAATTCGATCATTGGGTACAAATCGAGCATTAAAAGTCGACTGATCGAAATTGAAACAATTGAATACCCCATTGCTCTTTTAATATAATAAAAAAACTAGCATTTTAGAGGCGCGCCTATGGCAAAATAATTGGAAATTATTATTTGCTATCTGCTTTAATTCATTGACAGAACAAAAATCATCAGATAATCCTATCGCATTGTATAGGTATATCGATTTCAGAATAACAAAATCTAGAAAAAACAAATGATTAATTGATAATAGCAAATTTTTATGCGATACATATTTTAATATATTAAAAGTAAATCTAGAAATATTGTATCGCATGAAAATTTGCGATTATCAATTAATCATCTGTTTTTTCTAGATTTTGTTATTCTGAAATCGATATACCTATACAATGCGATAGGATTATCTGGTGATTTTTGTTCTGTCAATGAATTAAAGCAGATAGCAAATAATAATTTGCAAATATCTGGCCATAGGCGCGCGTAGCGCTCCTCTAAAATGCTAGTAATATATTTAAGATAATAATATAAGGGGAACTGCGTTACCTCCTAAGATGATAACATAGCTTTCTGCTAAATAGAAAAATTTCTATAAAATCGGTTTTACATTAATCGATTGTTATTATTCTGTCCGTGCAGTGAAGTTATCAAAATAGCCCGATGGACTGGGCCGGTGACATCCCAAAGTACAAACGCTTCGGCAGAATCATACCGATTAATTAGTTTTGTTTCACACCTATTGCTGTGCTTAAGGCCCGGATGGAGGGAATTTTTTCTCGACAGGCGATT